GGCTGGGGGGAGTGGCCGCGCCCTGCCCCGAGCGGCGCCTCAGGGGACAGGGCGGCACAGGCCGGGCCGAGGGCCTCCCCCGCCTCCCGACCGGACGCGAGGTGCCCCTTCACCGCACAGCTGGGACCAGGCGGGCCCGCGCCCAACGCGGAGACCGCTTCCCGTCCCGGGCACCGCGAGCCCACCCACCCCTCCCGCCCCTCTGACAGCGGCGCCCAGGAGGAAACTTGTGCGGAGCCGGCACAAGCCACACCAGCCGCCTCCCCGCAGCCCCGGCCGCCGTGCGCGCCCGCCAGCACCAAGGAGGACAAGTGAGGTTTGCGCCACAACACCCGGACTCACGACACGTGTGCTGAAGTACAACACAAAATGATGGACAACTACGTTCGCTCCATAACACCGAGACTCAATGACGTGTGCTTACGTATGCCAGAAAATGATGGGAAATTAGGTTTTGGCCACAAGGCCAAGACTCAATGACAAGCACTTAAATATTCCAGCAAATTAGGTTTTCTCCACAATGCCAAGACTCAATAAACGCGGGCTCAACTATTCCAGAAAATTAGGTTTTCTCCACAACACTAAGACTCAATAACATATGCTTACCTATGCCAGAAAGTTATGGAAAATTAGATATTTCTCCATAACACCACGACTCAATAGCATGTGCTTAAGTACTCCAGAAAATGATGGAAAATTAAGTTGGCTCCATAACACTGAGACTCAATGACATGTGCTTACGTATGCCAGAAAATTAGGTTCTCTCCACAGTGCTGGGTAACAGAGACTCAACAACATGTGCTTATATATGCCAGAAAGTTATGGAGGATTTCTCCACAACATTGAAACTCAGTGACATGTGCTTAAATATGCCAGAAAATTAGTTTTCTCCACAACACCGAGACTCCATAAACGTATGCTCCAGAAAATTATGGAAAATTAAGTTCTCTCTGCAACACTGAGACTCAATGACGTGCTTAAGTATTCCGGAGAAATATGGAAAATTAGCTTTTCTCCATAACACAAGCTGTAGGACCAGCAAAACAACAGCTCCAGAGAGAGGATGATACAGGGGTTCCCAGACTGTGGGACGCGTACCCCTGGGGGCACACAAGACATCTCCGAGAGGTACGCAGGAGGAATTGTGTAATGGCAGATTTAATTTTCATTATAATAACTGGCATTTGAGGGGTTAAAGTATAAAATGTATGCTGGTAGGGATATGTGGGCAGCTGGTAAATCTGGAAGGGGGTACACCACAAGAAAAAGTTTGGGAACCTGTGGAATAGCAAATTGTTTCAGTAAACAGCA